AGACAAATTCCTTGTGTATATTTTATACTTGGTCATTAAAGTATTTGTATTGTATTGTATTCAAGACTGTCATGGGCACCTATTGGCTGGTGGCTGTCATGTTATTGACCACCACCCTATTTCTGCTGCTCCATTTGCCATCCCAAAGAGTAAAGTTTGCTATTTTCCTGCTCTGTTCTTAAGGAAGGAAGTACTCTTGCAGTAATTGGATTGAATAAGAAGTCCCTCCTCTACTGGGCTTTCTTTGTAACCCAGTTCTCTGGAGAACCTTAGAAAATATAACACAACAGCATATCGCTATGCAGTAATTTGATATGTCATGGCATCTCCAGCATTTGGCCTGGAGATCAGAAGGCACACCCAGCTGGATGGGCTTAGAAACTTTCCATGTTGAGGAACATAGATAATGCAGATGGCCAAGTCCAGAGAAGCTTCTTGGCATATTCACCTGCTTGTGTTTTAGACATTTGCATCAAAGGGGGTAAGCACAGCGGTGGGCAACATGTGACCTTCTCAGTGTTGCAGACCAGCTCCATTAGCCAGGTCGATCAGGGTTGATGGGAAATGTGCAGTGCATTTGATTCTCAGCCCTAATTAAGCAACTTGTCTTATCTGTCACTATCAGTGGAAATCACCCAATTCCCCCATCATTTCCCAGCTCTTTGTTGGTGACTCAAGTAACCACTGGATCATGGATAGCTATGGTTGTAGGTGATGACACAGATGTAACGATACCATCATGGAAATGATGTGACTTACATACTTGCATCAGATGTCATCATTACATCATGTATAACATGCAGATGTCATCATGTTGACATCATTATGGATAAACGCTACACTGGACATATGCTTTTGACTAAACAGAGGAGATGTGATGGGTAAGAGACAGGCCTCCCCTTGAAAGCAGTGTGAATCTCCTAGTCCTTGACCTGTTTATAGAGACTTTCCCCACAGATGCAGTAAGTTCTATGTCCTCTCTTGGAAAATGCTCTTGGTATGAAGGCTGTGCATGACTGCGATGTAGACTAAAAAAAGAAAATCAACCATTAATTATGACCTTAATGGAAGCATTTGGCACCCTTTGCTGAAGTCCCACTCCACTTTGGCTTATGAAATGCAGGAGATGATGGGACCATGATGGACTTCGGATCCAGTTCACACACATTCAGTTGCCCATTATTCTCATTCACCCGGGACACATCTGTGGAGCCCACCTCAATACCAGGCACAGTAATCGTGTCACGGACTGCGTGGACTTTGTTCCATGGTTTCTTCCTCAGCAGACATCTAAACACCTTCTTAAACCCCTTGCGGAAGTGCTTGGAGACCAAGGCATAGACAATGGGGTTGAGACAAGAGTTGGCATATGCCATACAGTGAGACAGCAGGCGGAAAGCATAGGTAGTTTGGTTGAATGGGAAGTCTCCATAGAGGTAATGGAGCACGACCACATGGTAGGGCAGCCAACACAAGCAGAAGAGGATGGTAACAATGATAATCATTTTAGTCACTTTCCGCTTAGCTTTCTTGGACTCCAACATGTCCGTCAAAGGATCCACAGACGTCCAGAGATATTTAATTGTCCTGGTGTAGGAGAGGCTGACGATAAGTGCCGGGATGATGTAGCCAAAGATGAAAGTGCTGGTGTCCATGACCTTGCGCTTCCATTCCTCCCACCCTGGCACACAGAGGTAGCTGCCCTCCCATTGAATCAAATCGTAGTAGCTCAGGTAGGGCCCTGAAAAGATCATGGAGAGGCCCCAGATGATAACTGTTGTCACCACCGCACTGTAGGGAGTGCGCAATTCCCGGGAGCGCAATGGATATCGAATGGCCAAATACCTATAAAAAAGTCAACTGCATTAGGCATTGCTAAACATATATTATGTTGCTTACGGTCAGGAGCAAGGGGCAGTGAGAACAGTGGACATAAAACCACTGCAAAGCTTCGTGTTGTTTCCCCATGATGGTCCCTCCCATCTCTTGCACAGTGAGCGTTCTTGTGAAAGTGTAACATTCCTGTTGCCCACACATGTGACTAGGTTCACCCCTCATGCCAAACCACAATGTGATTTGGTTTGGTTTCGGTTTAGTATGTCCTGTGAATCCAGGCCATTGTGATTTTATTTAGCAAACCACAGCTTACCATGATCTGGGCACACCTCAACCCTACCGTAAGCTTCTTCGGTTATGATTTCTTTAGCAAATTAGAATGAAAAAACATGTTTTCATAGACCATGACCGGGCTCCCCCGTTGGGCTTAGTCATAATATGGTTAGTGTACTGAGTCAAAAATGGATCAAAATGAGCTAAGCCAGAAAATAACTAAGCAAGCTTAAAAGTTAGGATATTTTGCTAATGCAGTGTAGCCATTAGGTCTTTGGGTGATATAGTTAAGTATGTTATTGAAACACAGACCATATGGGATGTTGGGCAATAGGCTGAGGACCTCTAGGCTGGATCATGCAAAATGTCACCAAGCAAATGACTGCATAAGTAGAACACGCTAAACTTTGTTAAATCATGGCTAGTTCTTTGTGGCTTAACTTGTCGAAATCAAGCCCACCTGGTTAATTTTAGAATTACTGTATTGTGGAGACCCAAAACATGGATTAATTCAGGATGTGGAATAAGGCTGTTGAACGTAGGCATCAGAGACTGGCAAAGCCATAAAGCAGGCTGCTTACCTTGGGCTTGGCGTGACAAATGAAGCCACCTGGGTGTGGCTCATTCAACAAATGATGATTAAGAGCTTCTGGTTTGGCATTCTCATCATGAAACGACCTCTAATGTACGTGTATGCACGTTTATGTTTGTATAAATCTGGCTGTTAAAAAACACTGGGCTCTGTTTCCTTGAGTGTGTGCAGCTTGGTAAAATCTGGGTGCTTTTCATGATTAACTATTGGCGTTTCTTCCGTTGTATTAAGGTGAAGAGGTAATATGAATATTGAGATTTATTCTCTCTGCCTGTTTGATGGGGTTTGTATCTTTGATTATAAATTGCTCTGAGCATTATGTTAATAACATGAAGCAAGGTGCTATAATTCTGAAGTCAAATAAAGTAACAGGAAGAATAGCATTTGTTGGGGGGATTGAAACTATGAATTTATGTTCCAGCAATGAATTCTACTGTGCTAGAAACTCCAGGGATTAAGAGAGTCCCAAGGAGAATTTCTGCCTGATGGTCTCACAGGAAAAATGATTTGCGTGTATGGAAAAATAATACTTTTTGACAAATTTCGCCTGGTAATTTGCAAATTGCTAAAAATCCTGTCATTAATAGTGCAGTAATCCAGTTTTTCCCCCCCTTTTCCTGTAGGTTTTAAACCCACCTACAAAAAAGGTTAACTTTGTTCACAACAGTCTCTTAGAAAGGTTTTCTATGCACCTTCCCTAATTTCCTAATGATGGCCATAATCAATCAATCGATTCGCTGCCAATAGCCTTTTGCATTCTTACCCCCCCACACACACACACTAATTGTGTAGCTTTTGCTCTTTCACATGTACATTTTGTGCAGACTTTTAAAATGCACATTTCCCCAATGTAAGTTCCCTTTTGAAAGGTAGCGGTGCTGTTTATAGGTTACTTTTGGTGGTGTACCTTTTCTCAGACTTTTAGAAAGCGGATCTGAACGCTACCATGCGTGCCCACGCACAAACACATTTACTAACATTCTGTCCACTGCAAAGGCCAGGAGCATGAAACTATCTAAAATATTCTTCCAGCAGAATGTATGGCTATTTTTTTTACCACTGTAAAGGTCCTTAGGGGGAAATAGAAATATACCCGCCTGCACAGGAATTTAATCGCCTAGCAAAATGTGCTTGTTGTGGCCTGGGAGCACCAGCGATTCTTTGGCACAAGAATGGGTAGAGAATGCTTTTTAAGAAATAAGATATCTGACGTGGTTTTATTTATGGAAGTGAAAGAAAGCCCATTATTTTTGTTTGCTGGGTTTGAAGCAGAACATCATGCCGAGAAAATGTCCCATTTTTTTCCCTCCCACTATAAAGCATTCCTGCCTTAATTGATTTAAGCGCAATTGACTGGCTAAATCATGGCTGGATTCACAGATTGATTGATTGATTTGGTAAATTTATATAGCCGCTCTTCCCACACGCGCGACTCTGAGTGGCGTACAAGGTTAAAAAGCCCAAAAAACAATTCAACAAAAATAACCAAAAACGTAACAACCAAAATCATTTTAAAAGTTTAAAAACAATAAAAACCATTTAAAAAAAACTCTAAGCTGCAGGAAAGCGCACTCAGTTTCCCTAGTAATACAGCCACTTTACAGGCGCCATAACTGCTTCCCCAGATCCCCAGATAGGCCAAGCCATAAACTATGTTGTGCCAACCCGAGTGGCAGAGCTCCTCCCACCCCAGCCAGCCCCTTTGGTGCTCACCATAGTGCTTAAATCAGGCATGGGTCATCAAAAAAAGGATCAGATTACCTATCCACGGAGACAGCAGCCAGCGTGAAACTGCTGGCGTACATAGTGAGGTAGATGAAGAAATGCACAGCTTTGCACATGAAAGAGCCAAAGATCCAGCCCTCGGTGGAATAGATGGTGGCCTGGAAGGGCACACAGAAGATGATAAAGGAGACGTCAGCCAAACTGAGGTTGAGAATGAAGAGGTTGGTACTGTTACAGCCCATCTGGCTGTTCTGCAGAACCACAGCCAAAACCAGACCGTTCCCAACTGTGCCCAACAGAAAGATGAGGGAGAAGACCACTGGAATGGCAACCCTGGTGGGGCTGAACTGGTTGAGGTCCGAAGAATTCCAGGGTCCAGCCAAACCGACAAGTTCTTCTTGTTCAGTCATTTTTTTTTTAAACAAAAACAATCTGTGGGCAAACAGATGGAGAAGAACAAGAGAGAGATTGAGCAGCCCATAAATGCTCATGAAATAATCTAAAAGCCCCCTAAACCTGATTCTAAACTTCATACAAAAGCAGAAGAGTCTCCCTTCTTCTTAGATATCAGCTAGACACTTCCAGGGCATATAAAGGCAACCAGGTCTTCTATGGTTGGCCCCTACCTAACCAGTTTTCAGTGATTGCTGCCTCTGACTGTGGAACATAGCTGGTACTCATTGATGATCAGCAAAGCCTGGGTAGAACCTTTTTGCAAAGAGTATCTGCTGGACCCGCCCATATCACTAGAGCAGGGTTTCTCAACCTTGGTCAAGATGTGTGGACTGCAACTCCCAGAAGATGTGTGGACTTCAACTCCCAGAAGATGTGTGGACTTCAACTC